CTTGCGATCCTTGCGCCCAGCCGGCGCATAGTGACGTAAAAGTCCATGCCAAGATGCCGATGCCAGGGTCGTAGCGCGCCGCGAATGGTGACGTGCACGGCGATCTTCTCGTTGCGCCAGATGCCGAAGGTGCGAACAGTGTAGCGTGTCTGCTGCATGAGTTGCTTGAGGATGACCTATGGAGGCGTACTGGGTGCGATCACCAGACTTGTGGACGTCGAGGCTGAGTGTGCGCATGACGCCCGAGCGGCAGGAGGCAGGGTGTAGCGTAGCGCATTGCTGAGGAACTGAGGCGCAGAGTATGTAGAGCTTAAGAGCCAGCGTAGAGCAAGGGACCTAGGAGTGTTCGCCGTGTCCAAGATGGGTGCAAAAAAAAAAGGGACATACCAAGATTCGAACGTGTGACACCAAGCATAAGCAAAAAATCGTAAAGTAGTAGTACAACAGCTAGGCTAAAGAATATTTGAAAGTGGAGCACTTTAGCACACTTAACGTACCCACGCTGAATATTTGAAAAGAATCTGATTTCAAATATTCGCCAGGACATAGCACCAGGGCCAGTGCAAGTCTAGTGCTGCCTTTCTCCCACCCTTTGTGCAGTTAATATACGTGTTCACGCATTTATCGAATCAAAGTATTAGTCCTACCGGGCTGACAGGAAAATAAAATGCACCGGCCAAGCAGCGCACGTCCCCTCGGCTCGAATATATTTCGAGGAGGAAGAATTCTGTACACATAGGAACACAGGTGATGCGTCCTCGGAAAAAAAAAACTGATTGCATCCTTATAGAAGGACCCCGAGTCGAACAGGGACCTTCGGCTTGATCGAGTTGGATGGCGCTATGTGAAGTCGATGCGCACCCTGCGCCTTCCTGCCTTTCTCCCACCCTTTGTGCAGTTAATATACGTGTTCATGCATTTATCGAATCAAAGTATTAGTCCTACCGGGATGACAGGAAAATAAAATGCACCGGCCAAGCAGCGCACGTCCCTTGGCTCGAATATATATTTCGAGGGGGGAGAATTCTGTACACATAGGAACACAGATGATACGTCCTTGGAAAAAAAAAAAACCGGGTTGCATTCTTATGGCAGGACCCCGAGTCGAACAGGGGATGTTCGGCTTTAACTTCGTGTCTCAGAGTCATTTATGAGAAGCCGACGCGCACCCTGCGCCTCCCTGCCTTTCTCCCGTCATTTACGCTGTTGATAAACGCGTGCGATTTATCGAACCAGCCTATTACTGATCAGCACTGCCGGGACTGACAGGGAAAAAAAATGTGTCGACCGAGCAGCGCACGTCCCCTCGGCTTGAATATCGCTCACTGAGAGGGAATATTGCATAGGAATAAAGGTGATAACACCTCGAAAAAAAATCACCTATGCAGAAATTATGGCAGGACCCCGACTCGAACGGGGACCTTCGGTTCATTTTCTCAACAAGATTTGGACCTTATCAAAAGCCGACGCGCACCCTGCGCCTTCCTGCCTTTCACCCATCCTTTGTGCAGTTAATATATGTGCTCATGGATTTATTGAATCAGCATATCAGTCCTACCGGGTTGACAGGAAGATAAAGTGTGCCGATAAAGCACACAGAGACTGGCTACCCATGTCTCATTGGTTGGAATATATTTCACAGAGGATGAATATTGTATGGAAACAGAGGTGGGAAGATTTGAAAAAAAAAAAAAAATCAGGTTCATGGCAGGACCTCGAGTCGAACGGGGACCCTCGGCTTGAAAGTCAGTTCTCACTGCCCTATGAGAAGCCGATGCGCGCCGTGCGCCATCCTGCCGTTCTCATAAACTATAGAAGTTGGGTATGTCTATATGTGCGTGAGTGCGGAGGATGGGACTACACGAGACTATGCGCGCACGACAACCAAAATTGATTAATTAAATTCCACGCTTCTGCGAGAGGTCGCGTTCGATAATCGATTTAGATAGATAGATCATCTGATGTTTTGAATTGCTTTGGAATATGCCTCGATGGCAGAGTGGTCTGCATCTGCATCAACTTATGTATTCCTCGTACGATTATGCAGAAGTCGTTGGTTTGACTCCAACTCGGGGCAGTGGGTTGTGTGCCGCGACGACCGGGGCCCATAATCTATCCCTTTTTCCCCCCCTTTCCTACTTATTCCTCTTCCTTTCATTTCATATATTTTTCATTGCCCCAATAAGTCTCTAGCTAAATTTTCAACACTACTCGCGGGGCCGGTCCGTGCCGAAGCGCACGCCATCGCCACGTGTAATCAATACGCACCAACAAAGCCCATCGGATTCTCCCTCCCACCACGGTGCGGACGCGGGATGTCCCCATCCCAGGCGCAAACGCCCAACACAACGACCTTGCCATCGATGGGATCGTCGCCGCCGTCGATGCCCTCCTCCCCGCCGTCGTTGCGCGCCTCGGTGGCGCTCCTCCTCGCCCGCGCGAGCTCGTACCCCTGCTCCGCAGCCGCGCCGGCTTTTGCTCGATTGGCGGCGGCGTCGGGCGGGGCGTCGTCGTTTGGCAGTCATGGTGGTGCGGGTGGCGGCATGGGCGCAGCGACGTCGACGTTCCAGCTGGCGCTGGACGCGCTGCTCCCCGTGCTCGACCCGCCCGGCGGGTGTGAGGTACGTCATCCTGTTCTGTCCCGCTTCGCATATCTTTCCGTGGCGCTTCGCCTATCTATGCGTCATCTATTCCCTATTTACACTCGTTTTAATTAACCACTCGCCCACAGCTCACGGACCGCATCCTCGTCTCGTTCATCCTCTTCGCGCTGTACGCGCCGCACCCCATCGCGATCAACCCGTTCAAGAGCGTGCTCGTGGGGACCTTTGTCAAGGAGCGCGAGAAGGCCGTAAGGATTGCGGGGGGTGTGGGCGGGCAGCAAACGAATGGCGGCGAGCAGCAGGAGGTTCTCAACGGCAGCGGGCAGAGCGGCGTCGCGCCGAACGAGCCGCTCGTGTGGGTGCTGTGGAAGATCCTCAAGGGCGACGGCGAGGATGTGAGTTGTTCTCCTCCTTCCATTTCCCTCCCCTTCCACGTCGTGCCACTTTCATTTTGAGCCAACGCCACCCACCCTGCCATAACGAACTTACGCTAACCTGAATCCAATCCAGATCGGCCCCTACTCACCCACGGCCCTCGCGCACTCGCTGCTCCCGCCCAACCTGCGCGCGACGCGCCTCAGCCTCGACGCGGACGTGCTCGGCGGCTTCGACGCGGACGTGCTCGACGCGTGCGTTATTCCGCGCCCTCCACACCCACGCACGCTAATCCTTGTCCTCATTCTTTTTGTTTCTCTCGACGACGCAGCTTTCCCGCGAACGCCTCGACCTACGAAAATACCTACGCCGCCAATACCAACGACGACTTCAGCTCAAACGCGAACAGGATCGGCTCGAACGGGAATAACAACAACGATAACAATAATAACCACACCTTCACGCACCCGCACGCACCCTCGGCCAACCCTGGCGCACCTTATTTAACCTTTTCGGACACTACTTCTGCTTATTCGGCGCCGACGACCGACGCTTCTTCTGCTTATTCTACGACGCGCTCTCCATTTCAGGAGGACGATACCGACGCCCGTGCTGCGCAAAATGACGGCGGTGCTACTACTACATCTGCTTTGGCCCCTGCCGCCGCCACTTCCGCCACCACTTCCAACGGCATCGACGAACAACGCGAACAACGCGAGATCACCCCCGCGCAGGACGCGCACAACGCGGCCGTCGCGCATGCGATGCGCCTCCTGCTCGATGCGCGTGGGCGGGTGTTGAGTCTGGGGGAGGGGCGGGTGAGTTTTTTTTTTCTTTTGTGGCGTTTTTCTTCTTTTTTGTGCGGATTTCGTTATTGTGCTTTTGGGGGCGCTTTTGTGGGGTTTTTTTGTTGCGAGGGCGGTGGGTTCGAGGCTGGCGGTCGTTCGTTCGTTATCGATCCCAACCCCCGAACTTTTGGGGTTTCTTGCCGCTCCTGTGGCGCTTTCTATTGCGAGTCTTTATTGCGCAGAGTTTCTTGCTACTCTTTGGAGGCTTTTTTTTTACCATCCTTGCGCGGCTTTTTGTTGCTTCTCTTGCGGGCTTTTCTTTCGAGGGGTGGACCGACTTTTTGCAGCTCGGGGGCTTTTTCTTTGGTCCGTTTCGTTTTCTCTTATTTTTCATTCTTCGTTGCCTGTTTCGCGCTGGGGGGCGCGGCTAGGGAGTGTGCCGAGGCTCACTGGCGTGGATAGCGGGGATGCCAGGATGCGGCAGTGGTTGAAGCCTTTCTGTGTTCGCTGGCGCGGAGACAGGAAGACTCTTGCGTCTTCAGGGAGGCTTTTCTTTGCTTTTTTTCTCTTCTCCCTGGGGAGTAGGGGATTTTTGGTTTCGTCTTTTTATGTGGAGTCTTCTCATGCGTTGGGTGGGAGTATGTATATCGTTCGCCGCTGTTTGCGTCTTGCGGCCGGTTTTTCTCTTGCCTTGGGACCTTTCGCTTTTGTTGGCGGGTTCCATCGTTTTCGTTTATTTGGTTTTTTTTTGTGTTCGTTCGTTCCATTCTCCGCCATTCTCGCCCTGTTTCCATCCTTCGACTTGTCCGTAGTCTCGTGCCTGGCACTTCATGCTATTGATTTCCTCATCTTCTCCGTCGATTTTCTTATCTTCACTGGCCGCGAGTTCGCCCACTGCTGATCGTCCACCCCCGATTCTTTCTCGTTTCTTTTCTTCGTTGCCTTGCCGATCGTTTTCTATCCATCCTATTCCTTCTACCCAGATCCACTGTCCCGTCACTCACCCTCTTTTTTTTATCCAGCGCCTCACGCCGCTCCTCCCCGCGCTCGCGCGTTCCGCGATGCTCACGACGCGCGACCTCGCCCCGCTCGTGGCGCACAACGCGCCGCTCGCGCACCCACTGTTCGTCGCGCTGCTCGCGGGCGGGGGGGATGCGGGCGATAACACCTGCGGTGGTGGTGTGGCCGGCGTAAACGGGGTGAACGGGAATGGTATGTGTTTTCCCCATCACCAGTAGAGAAAAAGGATATTGACGGCGGATTTGGTGATAGCGGTTAATGGGCATGGCACCAACGGCGTCAACGGCAGCCTGCACGACGACCTGCTCCCGCCGGGGACCGCGCCGTACCTCGATGTACTCGCGCGCCTCCCGCCGACGCTGCCGACGTTTGACCTGCTTGGGCGGCTCCTGAGGGACGGGACGATCGTTGGGGGTGCGCCGGGTGCGGACTTTGGGGCGGGGGGTGCTGGGGGTGGGGGTGGTGGGGAAAGTAATGGGATTGGAGGGGGTGCTGGTAATGGTACGCCACGCGTTCGTTCATTCGGGCGGCGCGTACGAGCTGATTGGTGTGCGTGTAGGCTTGACGACGACGGTCGCGGCGCTCGTGCGCACGCACGTGCTGGGGCGGTTCGTCGCGGAGAGCGTTGCGGCGCTTGAGCGGGCGGAGGAGGCGCGCGGGCGGGGGTGGGCGGGAGATGGGGAGGAGAGTGAGGACGCGGGGAGCGTGGGGGACGGGTGGGAGTTGGGGGTTAGGAGGGTGCGTTCCTTTCTTTTCTTTTTCTTGCTCGCATTTGCGCGCTGTCGTGGGGAAGGGGAAGGGGCTTTTTCTCTTTCTTTTTCTTTTAGGAGGGGAGTCGGAGTCGGGAGGCGTGGTTGGTCTTTTCTTCTTTTACTGGGTGCTTTTGCTTTTTATTCTTCTTTTCGGCGTGACGTGGCTGTTCTTTTCTTTTGTTTGCGAGCCGGTCGGTGGGGTTGCTGGCGGCGGTGGTGGGGCGATTTATTTTATTCTCTTCTTGCATGGGCTCGTCTTCACTTGACGCGTTACGCTCGAGTCGTTTGGTCATTCACGGTCACCCTTCTGTTTTTTCTTTTGGACTGTTTTATTCTACTTATCCAATCTTCTTGCATCCTCATCCCCCACGCTTTCTTCCCTCTCGTTTCCTCGCATACCTATACATGCTAACTGCCTCCCCCCAGCTCTGCCGCTTCTACTCCTCCCTCATCAAGCTCTCCATCGTTGCGCCCGAGGTGGACGCCGACTCGGCCGCGATCGCACACTTTAGTCTGCGGCACGCGCGCTTCGAGGAGGCGCGCGCGCTGTATGGCGTGTTGGCTGTCGGCGCGTTTTAGCGGGGCCTTTTTTCTCTCTTTTCTCTGGCGTCGCGGCACGTCTTTTCTAGGCCATCCTATGCACGTTCGATGATATGCCCAGGATCCAGGATCTCTCTCTTCGAATCGCGTTCTTTATGCATCGTATTCTTTATGCGACCCATCCATGGATATGTGTTCGCTGCGCTGCACTTGTTCTTTCTTTTTATGATACGTCATATGCCACCTCGATACATACATACGCGATATGCCCTCATGTCTCGCCTCCCATTGTCTCGCCACTCATATGCATACCTAGATTTCTCTCTCCCTCCATCGTAGCTAGTCTGCCTACTTGTGTCTGTCTATCCATCATTCTGTTGTACCTAGCTGTCGCAAATTGTATTTTTTGCAACTCAGAGGGAAGGGGGGGTTGTGTTTTTATTTCACCACTTTTAGCTTTGATTTTCGCTGCCGTCCTGTGCGCAACATTTGGAACTCCTTCGTGCTGCAGGCATGCTGCCGCTGGGAATTCCTCTGCTCAGACAAATGCACCTTGCGAATACAACACGATTGCCACCAGTATTTTGGTCCACAGGTCGCTTAACGCACTAGCTGAAGTGCTGGGCTCCTCGATTCAATAATCAAATTCAATTATTGTGCGCACGCAGTCCCATATTCCACATGCATCCGCCCTCACTTACGCACATATCCAACTTCTCAAGACGGTGAGAAAGGCAGGAGGCGCAGGGGTGCGTCGGTTAAATTTGTCCTGGGGAAGTAATAATGTTGACCGAGGTCCCCCGTTCGACTCGGGGTCCTGCCATGAAAATGTTCTTCGGCGATTTTATTTTTCGCATATTATGTAGTCTCTCCTAGACAGACGCTTCAACAAGGTATCAACTCATGCCGCGTTTTGTTGAAGATATCATGTCCGCCCATCCCTTCCGCCTCCGTGTCTTGAATTCATGTACAGTATTATCCCCCGTCGAAAGATATTCC